TAATGTTGTTGTGTTGCCTACTGAAAGGCACCGGAAGGGCACTGATCAAACGAGTAGGACATTGTTAGATTGCCGATCGCTCGGGGTGAGGCATTCGTGGTACCAGAGAGAGAGAGAGAGAGAGAGAGAGAGAGAGAGAGAAGAGATCGGAAGAGNTGTATCCCCGGCCCCGGCCACGGCACATGCCCTATTTGCTCGTGCTGGCTGCGCGCAACTCCGCGGGCGCTGCTCGCAACGTATGTGTGCGGCCAGTCAGACTTCTTCGTCCCCCTTTCTATTTCCAAATTTCGGACTATTGGTGTGAACAGCTTTTTGTGCCTCCCGGAAGAGCCACAGTAACTCCCGTCACAAAAGGGTTCAAAAGGGTTAACGCGAGCGGGTCGACTGTATATTACAGAAAGGCGGGGTGCCGGCAGGAAGATCCCCTCCTTCCTGGAGAATAACGGTGTTGTTGTATTGTGTGTTTTCGTCCTAATTACTATGGCGACAGTCCCCCCATTTTTCGTGGTGAGACGTGCACTACACTTTTCAGTGTATTTTTCGTACAACTACAACCATCCAGGGTCACACAGAAGGGGGTAAACACCAGGGCTTCTTTCTTCTTTCTATTTCTTTTCATGCCCCACCTTCCTCCTGCGGTGCGTGCTGAATTTTATTTTTATCGGGAGAAGGGTCCAGCCGTCCCTTTCCCTCGTCAACGGTGCTAACGTCGAAGTTTGGTACTCACGAGAGCTTGTCAGCTATATTTCGCTTTCACCCGCACATTTCGTGAATTTTTCACCCCATGGGGGTTCGAACTCACGACCTCTGCAACTAGCGGATCACGAGGATACCACTAGACCACCGGGGCGACCGGTTCACGTAGCCTCGCTCCAACAACAGCGAGCGGTACTCCAACATAGCATACATGTTTGTTTGTGTATAGTCTAGACTATAGACTATATCTACACTACGGATCCACGTCTCATGAACAAAATGCGCTCGCTTGAGGAGTAGTCTAGAAACTTGCCGAACGGCTATAATATGTATACTGCTGTCAAGATAACAACCACAACTGCTGCGTAGACTACAGCAGTGAATTCAGTTACGACCCCCCAAGAGTTACAACAACAGCATCAGATGTATGGAGTACGTAGTAGGGTGGGTGTAGTCCACCTGCTTACGGATATTTCAAAGGCGAAGGCCAATCAAACAGCAACCAATCGAACAACACCAAACCTGATAGAAACGTTGTCTTATACACTTCAGCATAATGATGCGTCATATACAAATGCACACCCTACCGCCGAGATGCTTTCTCACGGTGGATATGGCGTGTGGTAAGTGGATGAGGAGGCCAAGGATGGTAAAAAGGACGCCTCTTCAGCGCTGTCGAAAGTGTTCTGTTTCGAAAACAATTCGAAGTTGAACAAAGGACCCTTGTTGACAGTCCCGTCCAAGATTTCCGAAGGGCTTCGGGTCTTCCAGCTTGTTCTGCGGGGAGGTCGAACGGATCTTTCCTCCGGTGTTCACGGAGCAAAATTTTTTATACGTTGTGATTTTTTTGGTGCCCAGCAGACCATCGAAACGCGCCTTGGCGTTTTTGTCACAACCACACCTGCGTTTCTAAATTCTACGCCCTCAACCTCTCCCGCCCTCGCGAAGACAGCAGTCGTGCTGGCCGGAACAGCGAGCGAACCACTGGGAGCACCGATCGGAGACAGCTCACGAACCCTAGACGCGAGGAACGCGAGAGAAAGAGCGGCGGCACAAGAGTTCGGCAACCCCTCCCGCTGCTGCTTCGTTTCAAAACAGAATCGGTGGTGTGATTTTCGGTTCGGAAAAGCAGGCGAAAACACGACAGAGAGGGAGCTGGGAGCGCGTTCTTTGTCCATCATGATCGGCAAAGCCTTCGGGATCGCGGTAGCATTAGCAGCGATAGCCGCGCCACGGGCCCGGGCAGAGCAGATCCTCGTGGCTAGCCTGGTCGACGACATCACGTACGCCGACATCGTGCCTTCCGGCACGTGCGCGGACGGGTGCGTCCGCTACGAACAAGCCGTGGCTCACGTCACCGGCACCCCGGACCAACTAGACTGCGACTTGCAGACCGTCTCGCCTTTTGACTCGTCCACGCCCGAGCCGGGGCTGCTGAGGGCGCTGATATACTGGTGAGTGCCCTCCTGCTGCTGCTGCTGCTGCTGCTGCTGCTGCTGCTGCTGCTGCTGCTGCTGCTGCTGCTGCATGCCTTGTGTGTGATAGATCGACTGACAAGAGGTTTGCAGAAACTCGCACACGCTTGCCAGGTCATCCTTTCTCCGCCTCTCGGCAGAGGCTCCGGTTGTGGCTCACCTTTTGCCGCTGCGGCGTGTTCGGAGCCGACAGCGCCAGGTTTGTGGCCACGACGACCCGATAGATCACCAGCCTCTTAAGATGAGTCGTGCCACACTCCCCGCAAGGAGTACACGCCGACTGCGGCTCTGCTTGTTGTTGGTGTTTTTCGTGTAAATTATCCGTGCTTCTTGTACGTTCATAAATGGGCCGGCCCTGTTCTCGCATATACTTCATCTCAAAAAGACACGACACCCCTTTGAACGCACACATGAAAAAAACAGTGAGGACAGCAGCGGCACCCTCATCGAGCAGGGCACCAGACCCTGCGTGTTCGACGTCTGCGTCGATTTCTCGTGGAGCTCCGGGGACGGTGATGGCGACGGGGAGCTCACCTACGAAGTGCGGGTGGAACGCGATTCCAAGCCTAGCGCGCCGCACACCATCTACGTCGACCTTTCGGTGGCCATCGACCCCACCTCCACCAACACAAACGCAGACTCGTGCCAGTACAACGGCACCTGCGAGGTGCAGACGTGCGAGGCGCCGAACGCCTACGGAGCCGTGGTGAGTGTGTGTGATGGGCGCGGACATCCTGCGTGTATTTTTGGTTTGAGGTTTGACACCCTCTCTCTCTCTGCGCGTGCTGCTGAGGAACAAAGCAGCGTCTCTTAGTCCAGAGCGAGCACACCACCAGTGATACGATTTAGTCTAGCGCATTCTTTTCTTTTTGGCTGTCGGAGACCTACATATTATACATACATCATGAGAGGCCGTTTTTCGACGTTGTTGGTTGACGGTATTATTTGTTGCGAATCTCTTCCTTCTTGTATAGTTCCATGTTCCAGCCTACTGCTGTACTACTTGTGACGTGCGTGGGCAAGACGCATTTTTTTTTGACATGTGGTATGCATATGAATTTCGTACGCATTTATGCGGCCCATCAAGAACACACATGCCGAAGAGATAATACGTATTCACAGCCAAAAGTCCGACACACATCGACGAACCTTGGGGAGATGCAGGGTTACGAGCTCTGCGTGTGGCCCTCGCTGATGATGGCGGTTAAGTCGTCGGATGGAAGTGAAAATCCACCCGTACACAGGCATACACGCCTCTCTTATTTGGTCCGTTTCTTGCAACCACCGCACGAGAGGAAGTGAGCTGTCTGTTATATTATGTGAGATGATGAGTGGGTTGGTTGAAAAACATCCGTTGGTGCGGGAGGTGCGCCTTGCCGTATGACGTACTTGACGGTAACGCGGCGGACTAACTAGTTAGATCCCGAGTACGTGGATTCTGCGTGCTCTTCGGCGAGCATGCCTGATGGCCCCGTGGCCGAAACAAATTGCTCACAAATGGTATACAGACACACGCTACAGGGAGGAGGCATCATGGTACAGCAGCGGACACACCTTTCCAGGATTCCTCGCCGATTGCTCCGTCCTCTCACACAGACCCGCGAGAGGCTGGTGTGCATGTGCATAAAGTGTTTCCACAGCAAGCGTGTGTTCGGCAGGAAATGCAGCTGTACACCGCTGCTCCGGCCGCTGAAGCGTGTACAACACACGTCTCGGTTGTGGTTGGTACATGTTGTCTATTTGCTGCTGTATATTGAATGGAGTCATGATTTCTACTCTAGTCCGCCGCAACACCTCTTCGGGACATCGTAGAGGCTGCTGCTGCGCGATTTCCAACCCCCGAGCTGCTGCTGCTGCTGCTGCTGCTGCTGCTGCCTCCACGGACGTGGAAAAACATCCTCTGGGCACGTTCTGACGCCCGTAACGCGACCTTACTGGAGGCAACGTTGTGCGTAGCCTCTGTATGTTGTGGTGGGGTCGGACTGCTGTCGGCGCACACAATGCGTAGTAAGGGCGATAATTTCCACCGTATTGTCCTCGTGCAGAACTGCACGTCTGTATGCTTCTCAAAACAAGACACAGCGGAGGAGGGACCAAACGGGGGTACACTGAGGGACAAAATTGTTCGGAGAGGATTGAATTGTGTGCTTAAAGTGTTCCGGGTGGTGGCGTTGTACTGGCATCAGGACAATCCTGGGCGCTTTCGTTTCATCGCTTCTGTAGCTCTGCTGCAGCTGTACCGGACGGCGCTTGCGCAAGAGAGCCTGCATCCCCCCCGACAAAACTCTTGGGGCACGGAACCGTAAACTTTGGGGTCACCGAACAGAACTTGCGAAGAGCCGGTCAAACTTCTCTCTCTCTTGTTGCCTTGTGCAAGCCACAAACAATACGCATGTGCAGCCCCGATTGCTGCAGACCCTAATGGTTGGGGGCGGAGTTTGCGGCATACTCAAGGTACAGCAGCACTACAGAAGTGTCGTGTATTGCAGGTTGATACGTTCAACCAAAGATGCGATTGTTCCGATTCCCGAAGCGGGAGCGGTGGTGGGAGAGCGGGTAGTATGCGCAGAATATATGTTGCATGCGGTAGCGTAGAGACAGCAGCAGCTCTCACGGCTCCCTGGACCCCACGAGTATTATTCACAAATGCCTCATCGGTCGTCCTGGGCATGACTCTCCTTCAAGCCCAGAGACTGCCATGTGGTCTTCTTGTTTGTTTCGTGTCTTCAGGCACGTGCGAGCGTTGAGTGTGAACACCGCCAAGCCACGCCCGGCACCAGGGGGGGGGCGGGGGGACAGGGGATAGGTGGCGTGTACGTTGGCACAATCCGGGCCCCGGGGTGCCGCAGGCAGGGAGAAAATAGCCGCATTGTTGCTGCTACGAATGTGTGCAGAGACAGAAGCAATGTCCGAGTTTTCCACCGCAAAAAATGGTTCCATTGCACGTTCCATGCTTTCAACGGTTGTAATGGATGGGACGGGACGATGCCGTTAACGAGTGCGTCCGGCAAGATTGTAAATGCTACTCACAACTCACAACCTTCAACAACACCGAACGCAAGAAGAACGAGCGGAAGTCAAAGTCGAAAGTCTAAGTCAAGTCAACAACCCAGCTTTCAAACGTACTAGAATAAGAGCACGAACCCTACATCCTCAATCCTCGTCCTCAACTGATGGTAAATTCACATCAGACTACCAAGCAACTACCCATTCACCCATCCTCGCCAACGCCTCCTGGGGGGGCGTGGTGGTCGACAGCGGGTCGAGCGTCATCTCTGCTTTGAGGAGATCCATCATTTTTTCCGCTGAACTTTGCAGGGAGGCACTTCCGTATGTCCTTCCCGTCGATGTTGGGGATGTCCTTGTACTCGGGAATAAACGACTAGTTTCCTTTGAGGAACATCACGATTTCCAGCCAGTAGTGTCTACTCGATTGCGGTTCCCTACACAGAATAGACCGCTGTGGCTGAAGTCTCTCTCGACCTGAGCGGCAGAGGCTTGACTGCCGAATGTTTGCTGCCCCACATACTTGAGTGAGGGGAATGAACGTCTCCCTATGGTGTTCCAGTAGTTGAGGGCTTCGCTGGGCGGCAACTGGAAGGGTGAAGGACACGGAAGGGCCGCAGGATCGGGAGGATTTGTGTTGTTGGTGTTGTTCAAATTCGCAGCTTGCGACAACACATGGACAAAATTAACAATAATAAAAATGCCAAACAGCAACACGCACACGTACAATAGTCTAGTCGTTGTTGTGCTCACGTCAGTTGACGTAATGAAGACTCCCTTGTACCGCATGACCTCGCTCGAGACCTCTCCCTCCACCAAGTCCGCATCTCTTCGCTGCTTTGGGGGGCGACTTCGTTGCGACCGAAAACTGCGAAGGCGTCGTCGCGATTCTTGCGACGAGATGGGCCCGCGGCGCTAGTGCGGGCGCACTTCGAAGGACCTCCCCCCCCGCCCTCACCGCCACTCGCGGCCCGACTCTGCGCTGTGTTCACGGCTGCGACGGCTCGCTTCTTGATTTCGGCCCAAGCTCCATCCAGCTTCTCTTGCACCTCTTTGTCCAGCGTAGGGGCCGTCACGCACGACCCGGAGGGCAAGTACCCGCCCTTCTCTCCTGTAAGCTTCATCGCGGAAAGGCAGTTCAGTTCCCCTCACAGAACGGTGGTGTCAGGAGGCAGGCAGCATCGCATAACACCGAGGGGTCCAGGGTAGATGTGTCCCACACACGACCGTAGAACCTCGTCACGAGCGCGCGGCAGAGTTCGTTGCGCGCCTTGTGTGCCACGGGGTGCAAGTCGTCGTGTGCTACCATCTTGTGCGGCAGAGCTTTATTCTGTTCCTTGCGGTCCTGGAGGCCGTCTTCTCCAAGCGGCGGAATGTCGAAGACCTTGAGTTCCTCCGACGGGTCCAGCACTCGCATCTTCAGCATGCCAAACTTATTGTAGATGTCCGCCAGCATCGGCGCACCCCCGTGCTGGCGATCACGCGTGATGGAGGAAAGCGGCTGCAGCAAGTAGAGCTAAAGGATGTAGTCCTTGTTGTCGCCCTCTTCGAGTGGAAACGTTTTCCCCGTGTCGCTGTAGAGCTTCCTCAGGACGTGCCACAAGCGGATGACGCGCTCCAGTGTGCGAACCAGGGTGAGCCACCGTTGAGGAGCATGGTTGGGGATCGTCAAGACCTCGCCCAACACGTCCACCTGAAGGTCGTCGAACTTAGCCTTGAAGTTGGAAGACCTGTCGAGTGTCCCGACCAGATTGATGAGCTTCTTGAGCATGTCGCGCGCTGGGGTTCTTGGACTTGTGAGGGTCGACGTGGGTGCCAAAGCCGTCCTCGGCGGCCTTGACCATCAGGTGGCAAAAACACGAGTTCCACAGAACCCAAACTGCGGGTGGAGGTCGTTGACGCTCACAGACTTGACGTCCGATCCACTGTCCGTAGTACCCGACGCGAGGTCCGATGGGCGCAGGCCGAACTCGTGCAGGATAGCCTTGACGATCTCGAGAAGCACCTCCGAGGGGTTCGCCTCTCCCAGAGCGTCTTGGGAGGATTGGTAGCGCTTGATCGGGGCGAAAGCACGGGAACAGAAATGGAGGTGACAGAAAGGAGGGTGCATTCAAGCTTTCTGTGAGGTGTTGGGGTCAGACAATATAGCCGTGGTCAGTGCTCAAGGAAACAAAAATCAATTAATTTCACGTCCGTTGCGATCTCTCCGTGAAAAACAAAGTGCAAAGACAGAAGGCATGAATAAACAATAAACAAACCCATACAACAAAACTCCAGTAGAGACCCCTACTAAACCCATGTGTACAAAGAAGGAAGTACGCGCCACACGTGTTTCAACAGAAGCAAGTCTTGAAGTTTTACGTCCGAAACGCCACATGCAGATATATCCGGTACATGGAATCCGGAAATATGACCAACAAGAAATTGGTATATCGTTCGCTCCCCCTGCCCATGGGGTGCCCAGAGGGCGCAACATACTCTCCTCTTGAGTTTCTTCACAACTGCACTCGGCAACTGCAGGCACCGCCAACACCAGGCCGGTTCATGTACTCACAGAGAGCAGGGTGTGCTTCATCTCGAAGTTGGCAGTCACCTGGAAAAGATGAACAGTGAGGAACTTGCGCCCCGATCCTTTGTCAGTCCAGATGTCGATCATGTGGTGAAGAATGGGCAGAGGTGCATTCTTCACTTCCTCCGACATGTTGCTCATGACTGCCTGCGGTGAAACGGCGGTGTTGTGAGTATGGAAAACAAACACAGCAGTTTTGCTATCAGACCAAACGAAACGGATACGTCAAGCGTTGTGTTTGCTTGCTGTACTGTATCGGTAACTTGAACGACAGCAAGAACTGAAGCTTAAAAATCAAACTTCGCCGTAGAGGGGGTAACACCTTTCACCAACTTAAATTTTTCAACTTTTCACCTTCTTGGTGGCGGTGTACATCTCGACGAGGAGGTGTTTCACTCCGCAGGCAGCTCTTGGTACGACGTGTTTCCTGCAGCGGTCGCCATCATCTCCCATCTCCCCGCTGGAGAAGAAGGAAAATGGCAGCATGTTTTCGACAAGCCTCGCCGCCTGCAGTTCCTTTACCCTGGAGTACCACAGACACAGTACACGTAGAGGTCGCAAAGCGAACACACCGACACCGGCGACAAGGGACAGATCAGACTGTGCGTGGGTATCCCACTCTTGTCCTTGTGGTAGATATAGGCATGTTGATATGTAACTTCAACGGACTGGCTGTGCCGAGTGTCTTTTTGTTTTGTTTTTAATTCAGTACTACCCTCGATATTGCCTTACTTCACACCTTCGGGCTAAGGTTTTTGGCGTTGGAGCCCGAAGGTGTGAAGTAGGCAATATCGAGGGTAGTACTGAATTGAAAACAAAACAAAAATTCGGCCTGCGCCCATCGGACCTCGCGTCGGGTACTACGGACAGTGGATAGCAGTACGCTTCGTACGGCTCTCGGTACTGTACTAAGCGAAATAGTACGTTTAGTACAGCTTTCATTACTGTACTCAAAATAACAGTACGTTAAGTACAGTACTCCATACTATACTAGGCTGAGTACAGTACTCAGCCCTCCCATACTACAGCTGTACTGTACTGGGACATTCGTACGGGTTTCGATACTGTACTAAGCATACTGGTACTGTACTAAAGAGAACCTTGGTCCAGTTTCCAAGGCTGAACAGGGAGGAATCCTCGCGGGTCCCTTCCTGCTGGAAACCGTTCGGCACTTGGATCGACTCGATGGCATTCTTCGTAACCTCCGGTACGACTTACTCCGCTCCGCCCAGGGTCAAGACCGGTTCGGGTTCGTTGTCGCTCACCGACTGCGAATCTCCTCCACGCGCGGAGCCCACCACCACCTAGGCTTGGTCTTGTTGCGCCTCTTGTTGTAAGGAACCCGCTGCGGGACCACCCGCACCGGGAGGTGCGGCGGAACCACTACTTGCTTCACTCATTGCTGCCACCTCCTCTGGGCCACTACGCCAGCCTCCAGTACCCTCAGTACGCGAGCACGCCAGTTTTTGAGTATTTTGGCAGCTCGGAGCAGGAGCGGGACTGGTAGTACAGCTGTGGTACTGAGAGTAGTACTGTGGCGTACGCGTACTGTTACTTGAGTATGGTATAGAGAGCCGTACTAAACCCATAGTACAGTAGTATTGAAAGCTGTACTACATAAACTATTGCACTTGGTACAGCACCGAGAGCCTTACTAAACCCCAAGTACAGTACAGTACAGTTTTGTGGGTCAAATACTGTACTATCTCCAGTGCAGTACCGGCCGAAAACCCGTACTAATCCTTAAGTACAGTATCGAAAGCTGTACTAAACCCCCAGTACAGTGCAGTACGGCCCTGTACTTACTGAAATACTGGAAAGACTTTTAGTACGTACTAAACCAAAGGGAACCTTGCAATTTATGTGTTGAAAATACCCCAACTCCTGGGTGGCTGGGTGGATTCCTACGACCTTTCAGGTGATGCGTATTCCCATGAGTCGATGCACTAAAATTTGCTGCGGCGACGTGTAGACAGCAACAAGCCGCCTCTCGAGGACGCGTGGTCAATGGTCTAACCGCTGAAAGATCAATTATTTTCTATAGATCCAGATGGATTCGTTGGGTGATGCTGACAAAATAAAAAACATGAAAGTACCCCTTCTCTTTTGTCGGTTTTCGAAACCCAGATTTCCATGACGGATGAGTACGGCGACGGCTGGGTGGGCGGAGTAGACGGGTACTACAACACGTGGCAGCTTACGGACCTGACCACGGATACTGTCTGGTCCAAAGGCACTCTCGCCGATAACCACGAAAGGTGTGTGGAGCGTGAATGACGTTATTGGTCAGGGAGATTTTTTCCGAAGGGGCCATAGAAGCCAGCGCTGACTGGTCTAATGGTTTCATTTCGGCTTCTATTGGGCGCGAACAAGACAAGGCTGATAAGGAGCGTACTGGCAGTTAGTCGCGGAATAAGTGTTTCGACCTGGTGTTGTTGTTGCTGTTGCTGCTCGTTAGCGGTGTGTACGTACTATAATAGTATCATCTCCCGGGACGTCAAGCTCGCCGGATGTCAACACGATATGTGTGTGTGTGTGTGTGTGTGCAGCTTAAGCACGAGCAAAGAAGAATAATTCAAGAAACGTAGTGAGGCGGGAAGGAGAGACGTTAGGTGTTGCGTTTTCGCAGTGGAAGTAGATAGCATGACAAGAGGAGATACGGGGTGTGCGCATGTGAAGAGTTTCGTCGCACCGCAGCCACAACCAAGACAAGACCTCGTTGACGTCTGATTTTGATTTCACGCTGAACCGACACACTTTTTTTTTTGGTCCACGTCCCTTTCCGACGCCGACGTTGATACCGACGCAAAACCAGTGCCACGATCAAGGAGTGCCTAGCTGACGGCGAGTACATGTTCAATACCACCGCCACCTCGGCCTTCGCCGACGACATGGGATGGGGCATCTGCGACAACTACGGTGCCGCGGGTGAGCGTAGACGAAAAACGAGACACAACACAGATGTCTTTGTCTCTCCGTCTACTCGTGTAGGTGTCGGGGAAACAACCTTGGCAGACAGCGCGCAAGCATACGGGCAAGTTATCGTAACTGCTCTCTTGTGCCTCTCGCTGTCTGTGCGGAGCGTCAGACAGTAAGCGCATTCACACAGAGAATGAGGTCGCTTTCCCCGACACCCACTTTTTGTGGTTTGACGGAGTAGCAACCGCACTAGAATAGGTTGGCCTGAGTGCAGTCATCCCTTGGTTCTGGACCCCATTGTTGAGGACACTCCCCCGTTTAACCCCCTTACCACGCACTGAAAATTCGGCGTTCCTGCGAGATTTCTGAAATGTAAGAAAAAGAGCGACCGACGCCTGCTGATTGGATGGTGCAGACAGTTCCATCCCTGGGTGCAAGTGCAAAGCTGCCTTCCCGCTTGAGCCGTCTGTTTTCGATAATGCCTATCAATTGTCCCCTCGGTTATCGAGGGGACGTTTGATAGGGATTAAAGACAGCAACTGGCGGGAGCGTAGTATACGGGGCACGAAAAGGAGGTCTTAAGACGTTTCTCTCAGGGGGAAAGCGAGACCTTCCAACCCAAGCCCTAGGTTGCCCGGTGCCTCCTATCAACGGTGGGCTAGGTACCTCTTCCGTGCTTGCCCCTGGTAGCGCTTTCCACCCATGGATAGACGCGGTGCAACTTCGCTGTTGAACCCGCGGCGTAATCGCCCCGCGATTCGATCTGTTCATTACCCTTGTACTCCTTCACTCTACAAAGCATCCATACGAAACTAGAGTCGTCCCCGTGTACCCTGGCACCCCCCTGGTCAAGTAGTTCGAAGGAGGAGACAATCATGCCATTTTTGTCGAAGTGAAGCAGGCGAAGAAGATGGGGACGAAAAGTGTCTCCACAAGGCGATGTAGCCCTGAAGGTGTCAAGGGACAAAAAATTTTTCACAGGCATGGTGGCTCGCAGAACGTATGACACATGGAGGGGTATCAACCTTAAGGACTCCTTTTTAAACGAAAATGCATACTCCCTACATACCTCAAAGACGAAAAATAAGGGTTAAGCCGTCTCGACTGGTTGTGTTGCTGGGAGTCGATAGCTCGCGGTGGATGATGCTCCCTTTCTACAGTAACCTCACCACGCGCAGCAGACTCAAGACGCGGAGTTTAAGATTAACGTTGTTTGCTTTCCGTGGTTGCTGCTGAAGGTGAAGGCGTGCGTCGAGTCGTTGTTGACCTGCTGGTTGTTTGCTGGCGGAGAAAAAAACATTCGTACGCGGGCTCTCCGTACGCCACGCCCATACCAATCACGCGCTGAACAGATTTCACCCACACGCGCTCTCCGAAACAAGTCGCGCACGTGCATAAATTACGATGCACGCGACCCGAATAGAAAGTACAAGGATCAATAGAATACGACCCCCAAACCAAGGACGGGCAAATTTCACTCGCTCGCGTTCTCCGCATGTAAGGCACGCACGCAGCAGAATTTTAAAGATACACGCACCTAAATTGTGAATTAGACATTTCTAACGGCATTAAATCCCGACGTGATCGCAGGGGAGGGGCTCAAGTTCACGGTGCTGAACGGCGCCTGCGACGGCGAGTCGGCAGAGCTTATCGCGCGCGCGACCGCAGAAGAGACTTCGGACGCTGGGGACTCGTACTGCGTCCTGCCGGCGCCGGAGAGCGACGAGGACTACCGCACCTCGACCTGCACCGCTCTGTCTTCGGGCATGAAGATCGACGGAGTCGGGCTGTTCTACGACGACCGGTGCAATAGCGCCGACTATTCGGGGTGCTTCGCCCGGTCGATCCCGGCGTGCAGGCTTTGCTTCTGGGACAAGGACCTCTGGATGTCGCGGTTTCCTAACTCCCGCGTGCCGGACTGGGAGCTGTGCCCGTGCTGCGTGGCGGACACACTGGGCATCGACTGCGCGAGCGGTGGGGGCGGGGGAACCGACGACGGGGTTATAATCGGAATCAGCGTGGGGATCGCGGGAGTCATCGCCATCGCGTGCTGCCTGTCGTGCGCCTTCGGGCCGACTATCGTCCGCTTCGTAAGTGCCATCACGGCTGCTGCTGCCGCTGCCGCGCCTATCCCGCTTCGTTGCTGCAGGGGTAGCTGCTGCTGCTTCGAAGCTGTTAGAATGATTGATTTGTTGGTTAGTCTGTTGCGGTCGCTTGCAGTTGGGAACAGGAGAGCGGGGTGGGCGTGCCCGGTTCTCCAAGGGTTGGCACGGTCCGCTGCGCGTCCGCGTACTACAACACCACGATGTCCCGAATACTCACATAGCACAGTAGTTGACCCGTTTTTCACCCTGTTCTCGAGAGACACGTGTGCAGAGGGGGCGGCGGCTGCGGTTGTTTTTGTCCCCCCCCCCCCCGTTTCTCTTAC